TTTGGACAGTGCGTGCCACGTGTGGTTGCGCATTATCCTGTTGAAATATGGCTGTGGCCAAGCCCTGAAGGTAAGGAAGGACAACTGGCTCCAACACCTCGGAGATGTAGGGCTGGCTGTTTAAAGTACCGGCAATGCGAACTAGAGGAGGTTCTGCGTCAAGGGTAGACCAAACAATGGACGTCTTGCGGATAGACCACTCTTCTGTAAACGGCGTCGAATGCTACGTGCAGATACTGAATGATGCGTTACAGACTCAATGTGCTGTGCTATGGTTCGTGATGTGACTGAGTGATCCGTCACTACCATGCGCACAATTTGCCTGTCCTCACGTGAAGTGGTGCACTGAGGTGGATGGGATCGACCACGTCGGTTCGTCGTATCCTCCTGCATTCAACGGTCACATATCCGCATTACAGTTGTTTGGTTTCGCCCAACACGACTACCGATTTCCCTGAAAGATAATCCACAATTTCGGTAGGCCACTATCCTTTCTCTGTTGAACTCGGATACTTGATCAAAAGCTGATCACTGTTTTCTACGAGACATAACTGATCGTTTTTGGAAAAAACCACAAGAGAAACACAATTGTCCGAACTTGAAATCGTCGAAATCTCCAAGCCTTAAATAGCGCTTTGAGGTGGGGCCACAGGCGTGCGTGATGTGTGTCTACGCTGAAATTCTAATCATTTGCATATCTCACCTCCGCTAATGCATGTTGTAAATTTCATGTTATTTGCGTGCTTCCTTCAGGGTGTTGCATTTACGGTGGCCATCAGTGTATATGAAAGCAAACAAAAAAAAGTACATTCTGACATAATAAAAAATAAAATACACATTTACACTGATACAATACACTTATAATTGTATCAGTACTGCACAATGTATTTCATAATTAATTTAAAAATACTAAGTTACGAACACGTTTAATAGTTACCAGTGATCTCATAGGATTGTCATATAAAATTAACTCCAAAAATTATTATTTATCTTGGTAATTTGTATGGTTTATAATTAATCCTTTAACTACTGATTAAACGTTATGCGATTTGCTCCTCAATGCTACCGTATTCTACGAAGGAGCGAGTATGTGATGTATTGCGGGGGGGGGGGGAGAAGAAGAAATGAAGAAATCCTCTAAGTATCCTCCGCAAACACTGTCAAGGTTCTTTTATCACATTCCAAAGCCTTCGGAATAATTTTATGGATAGGAGTGCACAGAAAATATCCTACTTCGGATAGACGTATATATGCGTCTTGGGCATATATCGATTTGTTTACACTAGACATTTATCTGTGTCGGTGGCATTTAAGTGATTAATGCCGTGCTGTAGCTTTAATGTCAAAGTAAAGTATTATTGAAGGCAATAAGTTGTTAATGCGTGGGGGGGGGCGATGAAAATTAGGACTGAATATTGGGTTGCAAGTTTGAGAAGCACTGTATTAGTAGCTTAATTTAGCGAGAAAGATACACAAATTTCACGAAGTTTGTGATTTTCATTAGAAGAAATGCTTGTGTTGTGCATGTTACGTCCTTCTAAAAGATTTTTCAATTACTTGCAAGAAAATAATTTTTCCCTCTCAAAATAAAACTTTTATTACTTAATATTCTACTTTTCTGGACTACCATAAAATTTGCCTCTAGCTAAACGGGATTAAAAGAATCAGTTTTTTGTACTTAGTCCGGATTATATTCATAATGCACAACTTATTATATATATTTTTTTATGTTTGTAATTGTAGAGTCATTGAACTGTGACTAAACAAAACCGATTTTTTTTTAATAAAAAAAAGCGATTTTTCTTCTATTTATTTAGTGTAAAAGTACAAAACGGGTTGAATGAAGAATAACTTATTATTTAATGGAATAACTTTTAACGTATTATTTACCAAAATTAGAAATAAAATGCGGATCTTTTTACGTTCTGTGTATATGAGTTGTTTGATTGTTTGTTAAATCGCACTGAAAAGCAACACAAAGGTTATTAATGATGAACTTTTTAAGAAGAACCACAGCCAAGTGACAGAGACAACATCTGCGTTGGCACTCTACTCTAAAATACTTAAAATTGTGACCACTCTATCCACGATCTGCTCACTAATAGTCCTCTTGGTGAGGTCCTTGTATTTTATTTTAAAACTTCCTCCCGAAGAAGAGAACGTGAACATGCAAATTATATATAGGACTACTATATAATGTGTAGACTTTCAGGTTAGAAGGAGGGAAAGATCGAATAGACTGCTAGCGGAACAGAGAGTAATCATGTTGAACTCGAAACGCGGATATTTAGTGATTGATAATTGTATTACTTAAGGTGACGATCTGTCACTAGAGATTGAATCTAGATTTGATTATTAAGAAGTCAGAACTATTGAATTAAGTAAGTGTATTATAGTATTTTTAAATTCTTCTCATATCTCACATACCTCGTTAATTTGTCTTCATATTTATTAATTGGGTGCATCTCTTAACTTTGGTTGATCAACTTGTGTTGGAGTTTGTGCTGTAAATAAATTTAGTGATTTAGAACACGGTTAGTCTTCCTTACCTTTATTCCACACCTTTAGGCGCGCAGGCAATACTTTTACAAAATTAAAGAGAAAATAGGGGTAAATATAGATAAAATAATTGTTGGATGTAAAATTAAAGTAAAATATATTCCTTTATTTTTGCTTTGTATGTTGCTCATTTTTTAAGTTACCATTTATTAATTATTTTCGTTACATGTCTTAAATTGCCAAGTCTTTATTTGAAAAAAAGAAACTTCAAACAGAAATAAAACTGACAAATTAGCTTGAGATAACCAACTGCGTTCAAAACCATGATTTGAAAAAGCATATCAATGAATAATTTTTTGACATTTAGAGTCGGTTGAATTTGATTATACATATAAAATTACTTTAAGAATGTTATGACAAGAAAAAAAAAACTTTATAAATGGATTTTCTTTGTCATAAAAGGAAAAAGAATGACATTTTTAAAACAGTCTCCTTTTACGAAAAATGCTTCTATAATGCTAATATTTTGCCTATATATAGCTAGGTATTCTATACCATGGATGGACTAAAAGTTTTGAAAAATTCGCATTATATATTTTCAGGGTTACGATCAATTGAAATAATAAAGGGGTTTTTTTTGTTACAGTTTCTCTACTCTGTGTGATATAATAATATATGAATAAATCTACTTCTGTTGTCGTGTATGATAAAGTGCAAAGGTGTATATAACAAAATAAAGATATAGAAGCGAGTCAAATATTGCTAAAGGCGGGAATCACTGCCGTGGCAACATCCATGTCACGATCCCAGTATAGGATTCCATGCTGTAGTCATTCTCTATTTTAAAAAGGGCACCAACAATGGAAGGACAGCTAAAAAGGTGTTTGGGATCCAGTTGCTTGCCTGGGCAGTGCCTGCATTCCACATATGATCTGGATCCATCAGGCTAGAATCTTCATGCCCTTAAAATGTTTGGTCCTTATTCTGGTTATTGTTGTTGTAATTTCTCGGCTATATTTAATTCTGGCAGCGAGAATTTTTTTCGTGGTTTGAGCAAAGATTTTGTTTTGCGACTGCGTTGGCATCAAAGACCGTAGTCGAAGAAGTTACAGGTTCAAGTGTTCTGGCTTCATTGGCAAGGAAATCGGCCATCTCGTTCCCTTCGATGTCAACATGGGCCGGGATCCACTGGAGGGTGCATGATTTGCCCAATGCACCAATGGAAAGTAAAAGAGAATTGATTTCTTGGGGTGTCCCATTTTTTCTTTCTTGATGGCCTCAAGAGTAGATCTACAATCGGAGAGAACAATGATACCGTCGGAATTAGCGATATCTGTCCATGTAAGGTAAATATCTAGGGCTGTCCTAATTGCTATGAGCTCACACGTGAAGTTGGAAGCAATTTGCCCTGCGGAGACCTTGTGCTTTGAAGTTGTATTATCTGGGTATTTAAGAGAATCTACTTCTAAATTACGTATTTCAAGAATATTTATTCAACTCCTGCATAGAAGTCCTAGCTATGTATAAGCAGAATTTAATTATTATAAAAACATTTTTCATAACAGGAGAATGTTTTTAAAATATGTCAATCTTTCTTTAATTTTGACAAAAAAAATTGCATTTTGAATAATTTTTTCTTGCAATAATATTTTAAAAACAATTTTATGTGTATGTCCTTGTGACGGTGTTCTATCCGCTCTCTTTTAACTAACAGTTCTCTTGGGAATTTCTGGTCTTTAAAAATTATTTTAATATAAAACTCCTCCTTATAGAAGAAAACGTGATTATGTGTAAATTAGGACTATTATATATAGTATAGGTTTTCAGGTTAGAGAGAGAGATAGAATAGATTGCTAGAGGAGCAGTGATTAATCAAATTGAATGTGAGGTGTGGATATCTAATATTTGATAATTGAATTACTTAAGGTGAAGAACTGTCACTGAAGATTGAATCTAGTGAGTGAGTGATTTTGGGGTTTATTGGCGCAAGAGCCGATTTCGCCTATACTGCGCCAAACATTTGTTTTAATATCTGTGGTCTAGACGGGAAGAGAAAGAAAGAATGAATTGAATGACAAGAAAGAGGGTCGAAAATACAGAAGGATCACTAGGGTACCCCGGGTTCGTGAAGCCCGTGTTTACCAAAGACAGTAAACCTCGTGGAAAAGGAAAAGATCACTAGGGCACCTCGGGATTGTGACACCCGTATTCACCTAAAGAAGGTGAGCCCCTGAGGGGAGATTGAATCTAGATTAGATAGTTAAGAAGTCAGAGCTTTTGAATTAAGAAAGTGTACTAAAGTATTTAAAGTTTTCTCATATCTCGCATACCTCGTAAATTGTCTGCGTATTTATTAATTGGGTGCATCTCTTTTCCCTGATCGATTGAATTTGAGTTGAGGTTAATATTGTGAATAAATTAGAATGCTTTTTGAAATATGACTAGTCTTCCTTCCAATTCTCCCACACCTTTAGGAGCTCCGGTGAGATCCTTATATTAGCACCCGGATAGCTCAGTCTGTAGAGCCTGAGACTCTTAATCTCGAGGTCGTGGGTTTGGGCCCCACGTTGGGCGTAAAAGATAAATTAAGCCAATTTCTTAAAAGAATATTTAATTTAAAATTTAAGAAAATGATTGAGTTTGTATAAAATAACTTTTATTACGTTCATAAATCTTGTAAAATTTAATACTTCAAATAAAAAGACAACTTTTTAATACTGAGGTACATTTGAACCCAATTCTTACTCCTAAACTTATCCAGTGTCCACCGTAGCCTAGTGGCAAGGTAACGGACTTGTGGCCAGTGAGTCATGATTTCCACTATGACCCACGATGCAGAGAGGGTCGCTTCACGTTAAATAAATCGAGGCTCAATCGTCCACCCCTCAATCTGGTGTGGAAGTTAGGAGAGGGGGATGTCAGCTCTGGTGTCGTTATTGTCCCTTGATGATGTTTCAAAAATATGGGGTCCGTTGCCAATAGTCCTCGTGTAATTCCTTAGTGCGACGTTAATATAATTCTCATACTCTCTCTGTAAACCCCGTATGACACTTTGTAGTATACGGGGAATTAAAACTATTTTCAGAAAAAATAAATAAATAAAAAGGGATCTTTTTTTTACCAGTGGTAAATTTTGAGCTCAATTCTTATTCCCAAAGCTTATCCAAAGCCTTATACAAGTTCTGTGGTCCCGTGTAAAAAAATTTTTTTCCAAATTCCAACATCCCTATCTTTAGAGCCACTTAAGAATCGGTATCAACTAAACGATCCGGAAGATACATTACTTATGCGAAAAATTACCCTTCCAAAAACAACCATTCCAACTTTTTTCCCTCTCTTTCACACCCAATATCCCTAAACAATCGACAAAATAATTGAATTCTCTTTTCCTTTTTCCTCTCTTTTTTTCCCTCAGTCCTTACCATTTACTGACAACACTTAAAACACGGAGAATGCGATTAGAAACATAAAAAAAAGAATTGAGCGCAAACTCAGAGTTGCGTAAAATACAGTCATCGGCTTCAAGAAGAAATAGAGTGGGAAGAGAAAAACTTCTTTCTGCGTTTGTTTCCACAATTACCGCTGTCAAATCGCGTGATTTACTCGATTTCAATTAACGCCAGAAAACTATAAAATAACATTTATCTGAATTAATGACGCTACAGCCGGAGTCGAAGACGGTTTCTTTAATCAAGAAAAACACCCCGAACCCATTAAATATTCAAGATCTCGAAAAGTTACTTTTTTTAACCCTCTTCCGCCGTGCATATTTTCCCTTTTCTCATTGTTTTGGCTTCTATACAAATGAGGCGGATGGTTTTCTTGTAGGGAAAAGTGAAGGAGGGGAAGGAAGGAAAATGGACGAAAGTGAAGGGAAAAATGAAGTAAAAATGGTATTTTACGCTTCGGAAACTTCGGCAGAGTTTTCATTCGTTCGGTTAAGTGTCATTTTTCTTCGTTCTGTCCCGAAATTGTTTCGTTTTTAATGAATCTTATAGAAAGATGGGGTCTTTTTTATTGTTGTTGTTCTTTTATTTTGTCTTGCTTGCTCTAAATTTGGAAAGTAAATTTGTGAGAAAAGAGTTGGAGCTAATTCGTTTTTAAAAGAAAATGTGAAACGTTTAAATGAGTTTTTTTGCTGTTGTTGGGAATCCGTTGTGAAAAATATCAATGAGTTATTGCTATACAATTAAACTGATTCTTTTTTTTTTCACTTGTTCAAATTTTTGCTTAAATTGTAATTAATGAGTATTCTATAACCAATGTGGTTACAGAATGTATGGCAATATGCTGTATAAACAAATTTTGGGAACATTAAGATAACTATGTTTAATAAATATTATCATAAGTAATACTAAAAGTATTTTTTCATAAAAATGATTATTGGTAGTTAATATATCTTATAAATCAGAAGGAAATAAAATTCTGAGAATCTAGAACTTGAGACCTATTCAAAAATACGAAAAATTCAAAGGACCAAAATGCAAAGCTTTTATGCTTTTAAAGCTGTCTCATACAGACTTAGGGCTGAGATTTGGTGTTAAGCTTTTTAGGATTCTAATCTATCATTTTCAGCTGGAAATTTAAACGTAGTGGGAACAAAAAATTAAGTCTAAAATTTACATGTGTATTCGAAAGATATGCTAATAGATAGAGGAAACAAATTAAAATGTATATTATTTATAAATGAAATAATAACATATAGAAATCAATTAAAAAAAAGCAATTAGAAATTCAAAAAATATAAAAATGTTTGGAAAATATAAATTTTTCAAAAAGTCAAATTAAAAAAATGGAGCTAAATTATTAAATGAAAGATATAAGTTATACCCCTGTGGAAAAAGAAATAATAATTTTAACCGGTTTCTTTCTATAGTGACCAAGTGTCCGGGATTAGCCTGGACAGTTTTGGTGTTTTGTCCTATGTTGCAAAAAGGACCAGGGTTTAAGAATGGTATAGCCTTAATAATGAACTACCTTTTTAAAATTTTAGACCTATATGCTCAACATTGCATTTCTAAACATTTTCTTACGGCCCTATATCTCTCAGCCTACCTTGGAGTAGATGCTGGCGTTGATTTTGATGGGGATGTAGTTAACGGTCTCACCACAACTTTTTAACTCAAAGCCAACAACTCACTTGACAACACAACAGGCACAATGCGTTTATGTCGTTTTTGAGTGTGAAGTAACTCGACTACACGTTTTTGATCATTTTATCTCTACTTGTTTTGGTCCCATTGTTTAGTAATGTGTTCTTAAAGTTAATCTATATTAGGAACACAAATTTTTGAATAATATAATGGTAGTAATAATGAACATATTGATTGAATATTATGCACTGGAGATTTTTCTGTTGTACATAAAGGAAAGGGTGATATTAAAAACCATGTGAAAAACGCTAAACATGGGAATGCTATTGATTCTATTGCTTTAGCAAACAAGAGATTTTTCTAAAGCCGAAGATGGGAATAACAATAATTGTACGGTTAAAGTTACATTTCATACACATTTCGAAATACGAACTCAGTTTCAAACACCAGAATACACATCTAAATGGTTAAAAAGAATTACGAGACCCAAAATTTTCATCTGGTAGATTCAAAGCCAAGGCAATTATTGCTCGTGTTATTTTCATAAATACTTGACAATATGATATGTTCTTTGGGAAATATTAATTATGTAACAGTAGCTATAGGTAGCTCAAACAACAATGGGGTAAAACTTGCCATGATGAATTTCGTGGCCTCGATCTGTCACATGCCTATCAGGTGGTGTTAGTGACAATAACAACAGAAGAGATCTCACAGGCTATTAATGAAACTATAAAGTATTCTATAAATTTTGATAACCTATTTTATGATTGTACATTGTTGAATCAGGTAATTAAAAACAAAAAAAATTAGATTGCGGTTCAAGTTCTGAAAAAGTACCAGATAATATTCAAGGAAAGTGGAAAGAATTTTTTTAAGATGCTTGTTTCAAAAAGACTGATATTTCATGCTGCAATATATTCTAAAATGGCTGAATTTTACAGTTCCGTTGCCAGGGTACATACATCTTCTTCACTTAGAGAAAATCAGACTTTTCCTCAACTCTTTTCAACCGCAAGAAAAATTTGATTCTCTGAATAAAAGGGTATACTTTTGTATCAACTATTAAATATCTGCTAAATGTTAAAATTAATTCAGAAATTTCTTGCTGTGAGAGGTTTTGAGTAAATAAAAACAAACTATTTTTTGAAAAAAATCATGCCTAGTAGACTACTAGGCATGATATAGAACAAAATACAGTTTAATGTTTTAATAAGCAATTAAGATTTTTAAATAGGTTCAATAACGTCTCCCGTGCTGGACCCAAAAAGTATGATAAATCTCCATCCTCCTACATATATATAATTAATTTGCATATAAGAATGCTTAGCTAAGGAGGAAATGAAGTCTTAAATTTTATTCGAGAACGGATTTCATACAATATGAACAATTCATCTAATTACGAGTGGTGAATTATAAGTAAAATATGTTTATTTTTTCTATAGAAATATGTTTAACTTCTATAACTAAACTTGCTTGAACAGTGGCATAAGGAATCTCTAGTCGAAGTGAAGTCGCATAAAGAACTGAAGAGTGAAAATATTACCGAACTGATTG